AGCAAGGAGAGGAATAATATGCTAGTAAAAGAAGCCTGTTGTAATAGGAACAGTTTGCTAATCTAGAGATCTGAAAATATTTCAAAAGTTAGTACTAAAGAGCTTTTCTTTTGTAGGGAGGAGTAAACAAGACTAGTAAGGACAAGGTGTGGGGAAATAAGATGAGCAGGGCTGGTGTATATTTCAATGGTAGAGCACTTTCCTAGCATACATAAGGTTTGGTTTTCCTCAGCACTGACACACACACACACACACACACACACACACACACACACACACACACAAAGGGAAGTAAGAGGATGAGTGAGTAAATTAGAGAAGTTTTTACTGTGACATCAGCCTGTCATGAGAGGGACCTTTAAACAGAAATTGCATGTGTTTCTGGCTAAGGAGGGCTGGCCTGAGGAGGTCAGATAAACAGCAAAGTCATATAGGGATGATCTTCAGGAAACAGAACCTGTGCAGGCCATTAGTGGCAAACTCTGAAAAGGATTTTTTTCATAGCATATTATGTTCTTCTCCTCCGCCCCTTCTCCCCCCCTTTCTCTTTGCCTCCTCCTCTTCCTCTTCTCCTTCTCCTCCTTCTTCTTATTACTGTGTTTGCATTAGATGACACTTTTCTACAAGCATCTTCAAAAGCATTTACAGTACTAAGTGGTCATACTTAACTTCCAATTTTCTTGAGGTGTTAGCCATTTTGAATACCAGGTCAGCTTTTACACTATGTTTCATGTGAAAAATTTGCTTAAATACAAAACACTAGACTTTATAATAAAAATATTTCAGAACATTCAAGGAGTCTGAGACAAAGCTTACAAAGGATCTGTGTTTAATACTCAATACAAAAGATAGTAGACAGAAGCAGTATGAACTCAAAAGATTTGCCTTCTCTTAAAAATTATCTATTTCTAGATACACACTTCAAGGAAGATTTAAAAAAGCAAATTGATCTGTAAGTTTAGTCTTGCCTTTATGTTTTGTTACATGAAGCGTGATATCTAAAACTTAACTTTAAAAATGAACAAATACAAAAATAAAATGTAGAACCACAAAAAGTAGCATGTATCTAGTTCAACCTATAATATAAGTATTTGTTCTGTTAATTGTAGCTTCTTTTGGTTTATTTTATAGGATTTATTCCTTTTATAAATAAGTACATATTTACTTAAGTATATAAGTACATAATCAGGAATAAGACTAATGTGGACAATAGAACTTGATTATTTGATTCATATACAGCTAATAGTCAGGGCTTAAGTTCTGTCTTCTAACTTTAAATTATCAAGCAGGCTGAGTGTTTAATAAAATCCACAGCTACTTAAATTCTTAACAAACTAGCTTATCCTATTTTATGCTCAGCCCCTGCTTCTTGGCCTGATCCCAACATAGTAACAAGTAAATTTCTTTTAAATGTAAGATTGATAATGTTGCTTCAATATTCTAAATCTGGCAGTGGATTTTTATTTTACACAGAATAAAGTGTCTGTAAAGTCCCAATCATCCTCTTATGATCTGTCCCTAACTTTTTTTGCTCTATTCATGTACTGTGGCATCTGATTATTTGTACAAGCAGTTAGCAATTCATTTGTCCTCGAATATTTTTTTCAGAACATCCACATCACTCATTATCTTCTTTGATCAATTATTAATTTATCAGCAATCCATTTACAGCACACTTTCACTAGTTCTACTGTTTCATTATGTGTTTTTGTCTTACCCAATTAGAGTATAAGTTCTTTGATGTGAGAAGTTTTTGTTTCATTTACTGATAGATTCTACATGTGTACAGCAATGTTAGACTCCTGAGAGTCACTTAGTAAATGCATGTTAATGAATAAATGAATGAAAATATCCTACTCACTTGAGTTTTGCTGCAATTTTATTAAAATTTCCATTCAACTTAATATTTTACATTTTTAAGCTGAAAATATAGACTTACCTGTCAGAGGGTTTTTTTTCTGAAGAACTTAAAGGAGACAAAATACAAAGTTAAAGATACATATTTTTAATATGACTATTGTTTTTATCATGCCTATCATATAGGAAGCAAAGTACTATATAAAGAAAAAGTTATACATATTAAACTCATATCATTATAAACATCTTTGTTAGGTATGATATAAGTATTACATGTTAGATATCATTGAAGATTACCTTTATATCTACACCCCTTGCATATTTTCTTCTATATGTCTATACCTACATACATATAAATGTACATATATAATGAAATACATATACACATAAAATATATAATGGAGATATATATATATATATAGAAAATATTTAGTATATAGATAATAGTTGGAAAGAGGTTTTCTTAAAATATATTCTCATCTAAAAAGTATAAAATTCAGTTTTATATGTATTTTTAGGAAAAGATTTAGAAAAAACTTCAAATTGAGTGTTTTTACCATAGATACATTTCATCCCCAAAAGATCTCTTAAGACTTCAAAAACAAAATGTTCTAGGAGAAGACATTGTTGCATTTTTTCGGTGATTTAACTTTTTAAAAATTCATTGATTTGTGATTCTCTGATATATGAGGAAATTAGCACAGTTATGTTTTATTCCACAACTACTATTTTATGCACATATAGTACTGCAGTATTGAGTGAAATATAGGTAAAGGTACAGGCTCAGTAGACATGTGTCTTCATGGTGGGATGGTACACAGTTTATCTATTCTGTTCATATGATAGATTTGCTTGATTGATAGGAAATAGTCCCTCAATGCACCGCAGAAGTTCTCAGTTGTTCAGCTGAAGCATTGCTACAGAGAGCTGCCTTCTATGTATTTAGCTGTGTACTCACATTTGCTTTTGATTTGTACGTTAATTGTACAATGAAGAAATATCTTTTGTTAATAATTCCATAAATTAAATATCCTCAAGTACATGCAAGGAAGAAACTTGCTATAGCAAACATTTTAGCCAAATTAAAAATAATATTAACAATCATATCTTATGGAACACTTATTATCTAGTAAAACTTGTGTGAATATTTCTGTAAAAGCACTAGTTCATTTCATATACATATATCTACATATAAGAGATGATTTTCTCATTTTATATTTTAGGAAACTAAGAATCTGAGAATATAATTACTTGTCCAAAGTTATGTAATTGATAATTAACAAAATTGAGAATGGAAACCAAAACTCTGTGGTCTTCAATGCTTTGTTACTATTTTTGTCCATATAAACTGTCAAGAGTATTATCTGAGTTGATACAAGACCTTTCTTATATTTTATGAGCATAAGTCTCTCAGAAAAACATCCTAAAGCCTAGATTGAATAATGCTACATTAGTCCATGTATCCTAGTACGTCCATTCAAATGTATTCAACTTCTAACTGATGTTTGCAAAGTGGATTTACTCCACTTTCTTTTTTGCACAACTTTATTTTTCTGTAGGGATCTCATTGGGGAAAAGACTATAAAGTAAAGAGAATAATGACTGTGGGGTGATGAGAAAGAAGGAAAAGAATGAATAGTACTTCAGTAAGATAACCATCAATTATTCTGGTCTACAAAAATTTAAAAGCAAAGAGCCGGGGATTTAGCTCAGTGGTTCCACTGCCTGCATTGCAAGCACAAGGTCCCAAGTTTGATACCTGGTACCAAAAGAAAAACAAAAAAAACCAACTCTTACTTCTTGAGAGCTGTGTGCTTCTTGCTGGGGATTTAGCTCAGTGGTTTTGCCACCTGCTATGCAAGCACAAGGACCTGAGTTCGATCCCCGGTACCAAAAAAACCAAAAAATTTAAAAGCAAATGAAAAAAATATTTCACTTTGATCGGCAATGTCCCCTGGCATTTCTTCCAAAGTTTAGTATCTTGATTGTTTTTATAATAAGAGCAAACCCAGCAAATACAATACTGATAAATGAAAATATTTTTAATAGATCAGAAAGTAGGCCAATTTAATATCTAAAGCAAGAGTCATTTCTACATGTATTAACTGAGTTTAGAATATGTTATTCCTTCAAGAAAGTACTTACTAGATTGCCACCAAAAGGAACATCGAATGTACAGATAATTTAAAAATATTTGTTGCATATAGTTATAAATTAATAATTATTACTTCACATTTAAATATTTATAAATAATATGTATTCTACTATTCACCTATAAAGGTAACAGTTTTTAATAAGAAAAAGGGCACAAAAACTGTTATTTGTAGAAATTTAGACAACAAATACTTATAATAATAATTTGTATTTTCAATTAAAATCAAACTATGCAATTAGAAAGAAATGTACTTTCCAGAAAATTATCTTTCAGTTAACATTTATGTCTTTGCTATTGAATATATTTATTCTATATAAGATAGTATATCTTTTAATTGTTTGTATTCACCTAAATAGCTCCTGACATTTGAATGTGATATACTTATTTTAATTTTATAAACTTACCTTTGCTACATATATCCACATTCATTTACTACTATGATACTTTAAGGATCTTTATATCCTTAGGAAAGCAGTTATCCTAATCCTAATCCTTAGGATGTAGCTATGTGCCATATACCACAGTTTCTGGTGGGAAGTGTAATTTATGACATCCATCATGTAAAGAGTCTCAAGACCCATGATTCCTTTAAAATGTAGATAGCTTTATTTTACAGCAAATTTGGCATTTCCCATGAGCCACATTAAAGCTCAAATGGTATTATAAATTCAAAAATTTTGGACTTAAGTAGGACAAGATAGATGACTTCTTTTTACCTTGTCTGGCTTCCAGTATCATTGGGAGCTAAATGCTAAAAAATAAAAAAAAATGAAAAACAATTTTAAACGAGAGAGAGAAAGAGAGAGAGAGGGAGGGAGGGAGGGAGAGAGAGAGAGAGATCTTTCCTTGGGTTCATGTTCAGTAAACAGCAAAAAACCTGACATCATTTGTTATTTGTCATTACTAAACATCATTTCAAGTTTAGAGTGATTTTTTTTTCCCAGTAAGCCTATCAGAATGTCATGTCTGTACTTTCTTTGATTTATAGGATTTTGGATCGCTATGTTCAGGAGCAAATTCCTGGTGCCAAAGTTGTGGTGGAGTCCATTGGTGCTCGCAGGCACGGTGATGCTTTCTCTCTAGAAGACTACACCAAATGTGACCTGACTGTCTATGCAATCGATCCCCAAACCAACAGAGCTATTGACAGAAATGAGCTTTTTAAGTAAGTACTTTTCATTGTCTACAGCGGCTCTTCAATTACAATAGAACACATACGTGACTGCAATATAAAGTTTTGAGCGCAAATAAAGTTTAAAACCCACCACAATGTTAAAATAAAGTATAACAATAAATCAGAGACAATACCTAGGGCCCTCGTACTTAGTTTTCAGGTCTAAGCACAGACTAAGGGGACTTCAAGAGTGGTCTGTTCTTTTGGCAACAGAAGGTCTGTTAGGCTTATGAGCAAGGAAAAGCTCTTTGAGGTGATCTCATACCGACTCATCTCTCTTGCTCCAATGCCCTGGCTATTTGAGAGGAAATACAGACTCTGCAGTGGCAGTTTGCCCAGAGCAATTGCAGTAAACTAGAATGTTAAGAGAAAAATCCAGCTTCTGTACAGTTCTATTGAATCAGCCAAAATAGTATCTGACTTTCCCCTTGGCTTGAAAGTGGAGAGCAAAGAGAATAATCTCTTCTAACCAGTGTATACACTATGTGACATTTCATCCTCTGTGAACTAGAATATTTGAGGTATAAATACTAAAAAATGAAAATAGAGAATCTTAAAATACTCTACATATTATCCATTATGTTATTGTAGTAATTTTTTTTTTTATTTTGTTAAATTCTTGCTTTCTTGTAGTGACACCTACTGTCCATCAGATTCCTGGAATATAATTCTATTTAAATTTAAACAATTTTATTTAAAATATGTTGATATATAAATGTATGTCTATATTCCAAATAGTTTACATGTGTATCTATGCCCTCATATTCACACAATATGCCAATACTCATAATTTCAGAATTTAACTTTTCTCTGTTAATACATATTAAATAGCATATAAATATCTCTATGCTCAATTTACATGTATATGGAATCAATATCTATGTAGATTTATTTCTTAGGTACATATTTATTCATTTTAAATTCTGAATTTAGTTTAATTTTAAATCTTTTTAACAATGACATAGTGATTTAATACCAACATAATTTTAAAAGAGCTATAGTTACTAAATATAATATTTATCAATTTATTGTAATAGATTTTGGAGCATGTGAAAGGCAGTATAATAATCAGTATTGGAAAAACTAAGGTTCAAGAATCACCATCAAAATGAAATAGTATTTGATCCAGCAAGTCAATTTTTTTATATCTCATTAATTTAAAAAATGTATTTAGGCCAGACTAAAGTAATTCATATGTTCTACTAGCATTATTAACTCTTTTCTTCTCTGTTAAAAGTCTTCCTGTATTGTTTTTTACCTAAATTATTTTTTAAGTTTGATAGTTGAGTTTAGAATGTTTTACCTAATTATAAAAACACATTCTTTTCTCTTTTTTTTTCTAAGACAGTGTCTCGCTATGTAGTTCAGGCTGGCCTTGAACTCGCTATATTGCCCAGCCTGGCCTCAAACTCACAGCAATCCTCCTGCCTCAGCTTCCTGTGTGCTGGGATTACTGGCATATGCCACCACACCTGGCTAAAGCATATATTTTTGGGAATGGTTCACTAGCATGAAAGAGTAAAATGATGGTGATTATAGTTTAAATTTTACTGGCAAACATTTTGGTAATAAAATATTTAGGGATAAGCCAAAAGACAATGTTGATAAAAAAATTCATACTGAGAAGAAACAAGAGTAGCCATGAATTATTAAAGCTTTGCCTTAGCAGTTTTCACCTTGAAATAGTAGCTAAGAAATACTGATCTAATTTAAACCCTTGAATTGTCTCAAGATTTAAATATAACATGTAGTATATAATCTATAATTTATAGCATATAACATATATTCCAAGTCTGATGATGAATATGGTATATAATGCATATAATATATGATAAATGTATAGCATAGATATATAATATATACATTTTAAGTCTGAAAATGCACAGGCATTTTCAACTATTTTATAGTAATGAAGTTATTTAAAAGTTAGTTTTTTAACAAAGAACAACTATATCAAAACATTACAATTGTTCCCTAATAACTGGACCAATGGAAATGGGGTATTTTATCGATTTCTCCTTATCCTGAAATCTAACATTGTGAAGATGTTTTAATCCTTAGGCCAGAAGATTAGAAAAAATAATAGTAATTACTCTAGGAAGTTGATTTTGGTTTTTAAAAATGGTTTTAAATAAATGAAATAAAAAGTTTGTAAAGACCTGGCAAAGATTAGAATAAATTTCATTCATTCATTCATTCATTCATTCATTCATTCTGTGGTACTGTACATTCAAGCCAGGGCTTTTACACTGAGCTTTATTCCAGCCTCTCCTTTAAAAAACAAACAAAAAAACAAACAAACAAAAACGAACTTTGAGAAAGGGTCTCCCTAAGCCACTTGCTATCCTGCCTGGACTCCAACTTGTGATCCTCTTGGCTCAGTCTCTCAGAGTGCTGGGATTATAGGCATGTACTATATTACCTGGCTTGGAATGAGTTTCACTGACATTTTAATAATTTATTTTGTTTGGTAAGCTTATTGGTAATTTGAATTTTCTTCTTCTTGGATATGTGATGTACTTAATTTTCTTTAATAAATACATATTTTTAAACTTCTTTTTGTCTCCTTGTAATACTCTGAGCTCATTGGATCCACATTTTTGTTCCTTTATTTTTTTATTGTTATTTTTCCTTCTGGAAAGTTCTCAGATGTTATCTCTAAATATTTTTTAATGTCTTTATTGAGATGTAATTTATATGTCATATAATTCATCTAGTTCAAGTGTAAAATATGGTGTTCCTTAGTAAACTCACAAAGTTGTACAGCCATCACCACAATCAATTTTAGAACATTTTTATCACATAAAAATGAAATTTATATCTATTAGTAGTTATTCCCTGTTTTTCTGTCCCCTCGTCCCAAGCAGTCACTTAACTGCTGTCTTTATACATTTGTTTGTTCTGAATCCATTTTAAAAGTATTTTTAAAAATAGTATTTATATTGTTAAAATATCCTTATTATCCCACACAATCTTTAGTAATCTTTATGAAAATAGAAATGATGTTCTTCACAGTAACAGAAAAAAATCTTAAAATTAATATGGAACCACAAAATATCCAAATAACCAAAGCAATCTTGTGAAAAATGAACAAAGCTGGAAGTATCTCTCAACCTGATTTAAAAATATACTGTACTGCAAATCTATAATAGCCAAAACAGCATAGTGTGCTCCAAAATTGGCCCACAGAGCAATGTAACAGAATACGGAAACAAAAATAAATTTACATTTATAGCCAACTGATTTTCAACAAAAATTTCAAGAACTTCCACTTGGAGAAAAGTAGTCTTTTCAATAAATTTTTTTCTGGGAAAACTGAGTATCTCCCAATATTTTTGTGCCCTACTTTCTTTTTATTTTCTTTCCAGGATTTCAATTACAATCTTAAGTTTTCTCATAATTTTTTGGATGCTCTGTTCTCCACCTCTTATTCTTTGTGTTTTAACTTGGATAATTTTTATTCCTTTGTTTTAAAGTTCAAAGATTCAGCTGAGGAAACCTATTCATGAGTTGTTTGAAGAAATTCTTCTTCTTGATATCTTTTTATGTAGAAATCTCTAGCATTCCCATATTAGATTATTTCATATATTTTCCAGTATTCTATTGAATCTGCCCATTGATTCAGGCATGTTTTCTATTTCCCACTGCATTTGGTAATGTATTAATCAGAGAAATATCAAAGTCCCTTCCAAATATTTCTAGTAGCTAGGTTATCTCTGTTGGGTTCTGTCATTTTCTTTCTGTCTTAAAAGTAGTGTTTTTGGTTTTACTTTTTGTGAGCATTTTTCCCCCAGTTTTTTTTTTTTAATTGAATGCCAGCCAGACATGTGTGGAAGAACAATAAGTAGTGAAGTACATGACAAATTATGCCGATAAATGGACATACAACTTCTGTTGAATAAATTTCTTCAGGAGTTAGTTTTGAATTTTTGTTATTGTATTCATTACTTTCACTTTGTCACAGGTTCAGTTAGACTTTTGGTGGGCTACTGTCCCCTCATTCTTAGAAAAGAGGCTGAGGGATTTTAGTGGTGCCTGCGATGCCTAAGCGAGTGATGGGTTTTCCTCACATTTCTTCTCTCCCAAAGAGGTAGAATCTTACAAGTGTTTTAGTTCTAATTTTGTTCCGAGATTCAGGAATGGGGAAGCTGTTATTTTCCTCCTCTTGTCTAGCTTTGTTTAGGGCTTGGTTGGTGCTTTCTCTTCTTGACCTCACCCCTTTTCCAAGGCAGCTGCACTTTACTTCCTATTTATAATGTGTATCAGGTGCAATAGAGTTCTCTACCTTTCCCTAGTCAGTAGTAAATCTCTACTTAGCATTGGTGCAGAGAATCTTAGGCCCAAGTAGACTTCCTACCGCTCGTAGATGTGTAGTGGATTTTTTGCTTATCGTTCTTTGCCAGGAGCATTAGACCTTTGCCTGAGCTCTAGTGATGGGTGTTCTTTCCCCTGTCCCCCCTTCCACTTAAGACTTGCGTTGTGTGAACTAAATCTCTGGGAAACCAGGTAATGAACTGTGCCTGTGCCCCAGCTTTAACTGATTCTTATCTCTGCACAATGAAAGAGATTTCTCTCTTTTTCTCTGCCTTTTCTCCATTCTGTTTTATAGAAACCAGTGAAAAAGAGTTTAGGAGTTAGTGCATATGTCCCTTGTATTTGTGAGTTTTTGCTATTCCAAGCCAATGTGAAAGTACACAGTTACCTTTTTTTAATATATTAAAATTTTTGGCCAAGGATTTAACTCAGTGGTGCTGCCACCTGCCTCGCAAATGCAAGGTCCTGAATTTGATCCCAGGTACCAAAAATAAATAAATAAATAAATAAAATTTTACCAGTCAGATGTGATGACCCAAGACTGTAATCCTAGCATTCTGGAGGCTGAAGGTAGAGGATTACCTGGAGTTCTAGGTCAATCTGGGCTACCTAGTGAGTTCAAGGCCAGACTGGACTATATAGGGAGACTCTGTCTCAAAAAACAAAACCAAAAAGCAAAACAAAATAAAATTTTAACTTATTTAATTTTTTCTGCTTTTATAGCAGTACAAAACACATCTCATTGGTCTGATAAAATGCCAAAAACAATGAAACCAAATTTACCATATTTTAGGGAAAAGATGTTACAACTCGAGGGTATTTAGCTAGGGAAGTTGTTGAGAATGCGGAAAAAAACCAAACCTGTAGTTTAGACTAGGTTTGGGCTTCACAGTGTTTAATTCTTCTTATAAATAATTATGCTATTAGTCTCATTCTTGAACTGAGAAACAAGCTAAGTTATATTCCTAAGTATGGGGCTGTTGTAGTGTAAAATGGCTACCAAATCTTTCATAGGTGGTCTAGACATGAAATGCAGAAATACAGTAAATTGTAATCTCACTTATAAATTCTGCATAGTAAGAATAAGTATGCAATTAATGGCCATCCTCTCATTCTGATTCTTCCCAGTTTAATTATTTCTTGTGATAAAATTCTTAATCTGTATTTCAATTAGATTTCTTTCATTGTCTGATAAACAATTCAATCAAAATGGCTAAACATATTGTTCAACATCTGAAAATGATGTAGAAAAATGACTATAAGAAATACATTTTTCCTCTCAAAAGCAAATCTGTAAAGCAAAACAAAGTCATCCTAGTTGACTTATGTTTTAATATTGAAATTTAAATTGAAGTATGGAGCTTCAAAATGAGATTGGATTATCTAGGCCATTAAGGTTCCCAAACTAGAAGACTAATAAATTATCTAATGGAATTCATATCTAATAACAGGCACTCCATTTTGTATATATAGTAGCTCTGAACAGGGTGTTAACTAAATTCAGAACCAGCAGGATTACCACAATATTAGAACACAAAATGTCTAAAAGGCATAAAATTATTTATGAAAAAATTCAGTTATGGCATTTAGTTGTTTTTTTTTAACTGATACAGAAAAACATAAAAATCAGTCAACGAAACAGAAAAATGTATAATATTTAAATCAAGATAAAGATTTCTTTCTTCTCAAACACATATTTTTATAGTCATATATTAAAATATTCTTCATATACTTTAAAAAACATATATAAAATCTTTCTAGATTTTGAAAATGTACAATACATTATTATTATATATAGTCAGCTTACTGTGCAATAGCACACCAGAATTTCTTTTCTCTAACTATAACCTGGTACTCATGAATCAACCTTTCTCCAATCCTCCTATACTCCCCTGACTCTAGTAACTACCGTTGTATATTTATGTGAAATTTAGGCCATTAAAATTTTTCTTTTCACATTTCTTTGTGTTTTCCATGTTTTCAACAAAAATGTTATTTTTCTACTGAGAAATATAATTTAAAAACAATATTTTCATTTTATACTTTTTAATCATATATATTATAAAGTATTAATTCCAAAAGAAAATTTAGATTTAAATATATCAAGATAGTAACAATAATTATAGTTGTCTTTGCTTCATGGACTTCATGTACCTTTGCTTTTCTTGAGCTTCTTTGTTGCCCAATTTTCTATAATAAAATCTTTGACCATAATAAAAATCTCAAAAAAATTAAAAATAAGATACATTGCTGTTCTGTGCTATTGAGAATACAATTGTTGCATCAATATGTAGGGTTTATAAGGACTACTCAAACATTCTCTAGGAATTTAAAAATATACTGACTAATCATAGTGTAAAATATATATATCAAAATTGTCGAGACTAGTAATATAGAATAACTATTTCTTGATTTTTCCTCCACAATGCAATACTCACAGTTGGAATTGAATTATTTAGTAAGAAAGGTTTGCACAAATTCTGGGATTAAATTTATCACTATTATCTGTCATTCTGACTACACTGCTATGCTGTCTGCATCATTTATTTAGGGCTTTTTTCCCTAAGTAGAAAAAATTAATTTATTCTCTTTTCACATAAAAACATTGTTTTAGTTTCAGTTTTGAAAATGTTGACATTAGAGATGGCGAAATGGAAAATGAATACTGATTATGGGCTTAAAGAGTTGGTTGTGTGTCCTAAATCTGTTTCCATAATTGTAGAGGTTTCCACCTGGCTATAAATCAGTATTGTAAAGTTCTGTGTTTATAAGATTATCTTAAAGTCAGCATGAGACAAAATGCATAAGTATAATTTTAAACTATGCTATATAACTTAGGGCTATTATATTTTAACCCTCTGAACAACTTACCAAAGTAAATTATGTCAACATAAGGATAGTATGTTCAATGATAATGACAATTTAGTTTTCTTTAGTCTGTAAGTATATTATGTAAAGGTCATTGGCATTAATATCTTTGAAATTCGTATACGTATGTGTAATCTTCTTTATCAACCATTTACTTTATATATGCACGTGTTAATATTTATAATAAAAAAACCGAGTTTGTGTTTCAATTTAAGAAACAAAAGATTTTACAAAAATATTTTATTTTAAATAAAGTTTTTCTAACGTTATTAATTTTATCATTTGTTTAACAATAAAGATTTTTGGACGGCAAGCTGCTCGATATCAACAAAGACTTTCAGCCATATTACGGGGAAGGAGGACGCATACTGGAGATCCGGACCCCAGAGGCAGTGACCAGCATTAAAAAGAGAGGAGAAAGTTTGGGATATACAGAAGGGGCTTTGTTGGCTCTGGCCTTCATCATCATCCTCTGCTGTATTCCTGCCATCTTGGTAGTCTTAGTCAGCTACCGACAGTAAGTATCCAAGGATGCTAAACATGGATAGCGTCTCAAGAAGAGCTGTCTCTGATAATTGCTTTGTGGTTGTAATAATAATTTGATAGTGCAACCACTGTGGGATTGGTTTACCTTTCTTGTACCAAATTACCTTCCTCAAGATAACAGAAAATAATACAAACTTTCCATGCATTGCTCACAGGTGCCTTGCTGTCCCTGTGCTCCTACATGTTCTTGTCTGCTAGGAGTGTCAGACTATTTCATTCTTTTGTTAATTTTCTTCTTGTGATTAAGAGATTCAAGGAGATTATTGGTATTATGAGGAAAAACTAATGGAATGTCATATCCAGATGCACTTTTTCCCATTTCTAACAAAAGGTCTGCACATTCACTTCATTGTTCTAATTGGTTTTTATCCATACAATTACATTTACCTCTGTGCAGATGACCAAAATGTTAGCACAATTACTGTAAAAACAAAGCATATCTTGCATCATGATTTCCATGTGTGTTCTTCCTGAGTAGTTTCAGAGCTTGTCTTGTAGTATCTAACCTCATATTTTAAGAGTATGTAACCTTATTCTTTTTCCATTTCCTCTAGTCAAATATATCCACTTGCAATATCTATGTATTTTAAACATTCAACTTAGTTCCTTCAAAGTAATCTAGTAATTATAACTATTTGAAATATTTATACTTAATGTGGACTAGTAATATACTTTATGTGACACTAGGTATGGGAAACTTTGTGACTGGAGGTTACACATTTTAAATGTATCTCTATTGATAATGAGTCAAAAATGGGAAGATGGTTAAGAAGAGAGGTAGATATGAGGATGTTATAAGAAGAAACTATGTAATAGGCAACATAAATCATATAAGTTACCAAATATAATGAACAGTAAGAAATACGGTGCAACTGCTGTCCATCACTTAACAAATCTACAGGGAAAGTACTAAAATAATTCTTACATATTCTTACACTGTTATCTTTGCTTATCAAAAATATTCCCCCACCCTTCAAATACATTTATTCTTTTATTGTGTCCACTTTCTGAAGAAACTTTGGAGTCCTTTTTTGTGAGTACCCTTAGTTGTGCTATCCTGGCTGCCTCAATGTCCTCAGTTTATTAAAAATGTTTACCTTTCATAGTTATTTTGACTTTGGGGAAGAACCAGAAGTTACAGAATGTCATATCTGATGAATAAAATATATGAGGACATATTGTGATATTTTTATAAGGTTGTCTTTTCATTGGATGGCACTGTACAGCAACATTCACTGCATCTATGATCAAATCTCAAAGATGCTCATGAAAGAAAAGACTTCCAAAACTGTTTTAGAATGTGGCAAGAAAGATAGAAAAAGAGTGTTTCAGAGAAAGAAAATATATTGAGGGAGATTAATGACAATGTGTCTCTAACTATAATTTTAAAATTTAAGTATTCACCATGTAGTTTGATAATACCTTGCATGCTTGAAGACATTGTAGGAATATTTTCACATCAAAAGTAAGTGAAATTACAAATATAACATTTGATGTATTGGAGCTTAATATATTTTTAACTAATAAATTGATGTGCTAAGTCTAAATCTATGAGGAAACTAATAGTTTTAAATTATTAAGCAAGTAATGTAATATTAATTTTATATATATTCTGTATTACTAGAGTCATTTGTATTCAGCTATTTCCCCAAGTGGCTTTATTATATTCTGAGAGCAAAAAAATCAGGGAGAAAAATTCTTATATTTGCCACACAATAAAATGATCAAAACTGAAGCACCCTAGATGTAATACTCAGTAGTGTGAAATTTAACAAAAGCATTAGGATGCTTAATATTTAAACACACTGTATGTGCATTATTTCTCTTTTAGTTCAGTATTCAACTCAATACTTTATGAATTTATTGCAGTTATTAATTTGCATAAACAGAGTTAAACAAAATGAATTTTGCTTTTCTCACATATCAAGGAGAAATCCTAATATGTAAAGATCTCACATCTTCATATTCTGCCTGCAAATAAGTTATAAATGAATGGATTTTTATAATGTGATTTTTCTTTTCTTTTGCTTAAATTCTTTCATTAGTAAATTTTAAGTATACAATACGCTTACATTTATCATTGGGTGCTTGTACCTGTACATGACGTATCTTGGGTCTTATTTTTTCTCCTTTCCCTGTCCTCCCTTCCCCCCATTCCACCCTTAACTATTTACAAAGACTTTGTTTCCACTTTTTCCTTTTCTCATAATTTTTCCTTTCCTTTCTTTCCTTTCCCCTTCCCTTCCCACTTCCCCTACCCATTTGGACCTTTTCTTCCTATTTCAAATTATCAATTATTCGCTTTAATCATTTTAATCCTTATTTACACTTTCAGTTTCTCACACTAGAGAAGCTAGTCAGTATTTACACGTGTGTCCTATTTATTTCACTTAAGAGGATAGCCTCAATATGCATCCATTTAGCTATAAATATCTCTAGTTTCTCATTCTTTACGGCTGAGTAGTAATCCATTTTATAAAATACCCCACATCTTCTTTATCCAGTTTCCAGTTGATGGGCACTTGGGCTGTTTCCAAGCTTTAGCTATTACAAACTATGCCACTATAAACATAGGTGCACATATATCACTGTGGGTATGATTCTTTTAATTCTTTGGGGGAGATGCCCAGCAGGGGAATAGCTGGGTCAAATGGAACCTTTAGTCCTAATTCTTTGAGGTATTTCCACACTGATTTCCACAGTGGTTGTACCAGTCTGCACTCCCACCAACAATGGAGAAGGGTTCCTTTCTCCCCACACCTCCGCCAGCATTGTTATTGGTTGATTTCTTGATAGCACCCATTCTTTCTGGGGTGAGGTGGAATCTCAGTGTTGTTTTCATCTGCATCTCTTGAAAGACCAGTGATGTTGAACATTTTTTCATATGTTTATGAAACATTTTGCTGCTTTTACTTCTTTGTTTAAGAAATATCTATTCATTTCAGATGCCCATTTTTTATTTTATTCTTTGAATTTGGGGGTTCTGATTTTTTTCAGTTCTTTACGTATTCTACATAGTAGTCCTTTTTCTGGAGTACAGCTGCTAAAAATTTTTTCCCACATTGTAGATTGCCTCTTAGTTCTATTGGTGGTTTCTCTTGCATCCAGAAGCTTTTTAATAAGATGAGATCCCAGTTGTTGATTCTTTGTGCTAGTTCCCGTGCTAATGAGGTTTTGTTCATAAAGTCTTTTCCTATGCCAATGTCTTCAAGAGTTCTACCTAACTTATTTTCTGGCAAGTTTAGTGTTTCTGTTTTAATATTTAGATCTTTAATCCACTTTCATCTTAGTTTAGTTCATGGTGATAGATATGGGTCAAGTTTTAATCTTTGACAGGTTGAAATCCAGTTTTTCCAACACCATTTATTAAAGAGGCTATCTTTCTTCCAATTAGGGTGGTTGGCTCCTTTGTCAAAGATGAGGTGACTGAGTATGTCTGGGGTTGTTTCTGCATCTTGTAATCTATTCCACTGATCCTCAGGTCTGTTTCTTTGCCAGTACCATGCTGTTTTTATCACAGTAGCTTTGTAGTATAGTTTCAAGTTGGGGATTGTGATACCTTCTGCCATGTCTCTGTTGCTTAGAATTGCTTTTGCTATTCTAGGTCTCTTCTGGTTCTAAATTAATTTTTAGATTGTTTTCTCTAGTTCTGTGAAATATATTGTTAGAATTTCTATTGGCATTGCATTAAATCTATATATCAGTTTTGGAAGTATGGCCATTTTCACTATATTGGTTCTACCTACCCAGGAACAAGGGATGTCTTTCCATTTTCTTATATTATCCTCTCTCTCTTTTTTCAGAGTGCTGTAGTCACAGTAATTAGAAAAGAGAAAGAAATAAAGGGAAGATAGGAAAGGAAGAAATTAAAATGTCATTATTTGCTGACAATATGGCACTTTACATAGAAGACCCAAAAAACTCTGCCAAAAAACTTCTAAACTTAATTGACAGATTCAATAGAGTAGCTGCATACAAGGTCAACACTCAAAAAATGATAGCCTTCTTATACACAAATAACAGACTCACTGAGAGAAAAATTAGGAAAACAATTCCTTTTACAATAGCATCCAAAAAAATTAAATATCTAGGAATAAGTCTAACAAAGGAAACAGAAGACTTCTACATTGAAAACTATATTATATTATTTCTTTGAAATTTGCTATGTGTGAAAGATTGGAAAGCAAATACAAAAAAAAAAAAAAAAGTGTCATGAATTCATTACCCAGGAGTAGTACTTTCCAGTTTTAACTTCAGCTTCAAAGTGAGGCTAAGAACATAATCAAGACTTGCTGCAGGACTAACTCCATTCCCTTAATATTCTTCAAGCAGAACTAACCAACAAGCCAATTATAAAGATCAGAACATCTTTAATTTTCCATTTTTCTATTACAGTTGAAATTCACATCACCATGTTTTAATCCAGATTTTCTTATTACATTAAATTCATTTCTTTATTTTGCTGTAATGGATGATTTAATAGTTTGTATGACTATAATGGTAATAATAAAGTGCTCCCTATTTTCACTTTCCAATTTGAAATACTTGGTTTTCCTACTATGTCATTAACTCTGTCATTATGAGTTTAACTAGTAAATTATTCACAATTTAGAATAAATCATATGCTAAAATATTACGAGTGCCATGTTTCTAATGTATTTCTCTTGTTTCTTATTCATTGCTTTCCTAAAAAGATTTAAAGTGTAAGTATAATTATGAATATTTTCTGAATGATTTTATGTTATAGAAGAGGAGAGAACACAAATCATATTGATCCAGTAGTTATGCTATCCAGAACTATTCATTACTTGTTAGGTATGTGTAATAGTTATATCCTTTTTGGCTTGATATCTATAAAATTGAGCCGATTTTGGATGTAACTGGAGTAAATGCGAAATAGTATCTTCTGATCATTTCTACATTTAGAGGTTTTGGTTTTAAGGAAGGGATTAGCAATCAGTGGCTATGATTGAACTGTGGAGTAAGAAGGGCAAATGTTCATAGGAGTCAAAAGGCTATAAAAACTGACCAAATCTCCCTTCTCATGAACACAGCCTCTATGAAGTAGTGTCAAGAATATTTAAATATTTACTAAATAAAGTAAATTTCTGAAGACAGGCAAATAATAATGGGAAATTAACTTTAATATGAAAAAGATTCATTAATCAACTACCAAATATTCTTCATATTTTTCTAATTTATTTAATGTCTTTAATTGACAAAGAGTGAACATTATTTTCAGGATACAATTTGATATTTTAATACCAGTATCCTTTATGTAATGTTTAATTCAAAGTAAACTTTTATTCGAAGGTAGAATATCTTTGTTTGTAAACGACCAAAATCTTTTCTTCTAGTTTTTTGAAAATTTATGCCATAGTACTGTTATCTATAGTTACCCTATTATACAATACTAGAACAGCAGAACTTCCCCTAATTGTAATTTTAATACTATCATTAATTTGCAAATATTTCTATGAATTTGATCCTTCTTCATGGAGCAAATATTTTAAAGAATTGAGGAGAATTATATGTAAATGCTACTCTGTGAAGATGATTCTGTCCTTATTTCGGTTATTCTGAGTTCAAATATTTGTAAGCGGGTTCCTCTGATAACTGGACTTTATCGTTGAAAGATAGCCTATTGCTGTGTGTATGATTTCTAAGATGAGTTTTACTAGACAATCTTCCTTTACCCAAGACGCCAAGCTGAGTGCACCAAGACAGCACGAATTCAATCCGCTTTACCTGCGGCGAAACCTGCAGCCCCGACCCCAGCACCCACGGCAGGGCCCCTGCCCCTGCCGCCGCCTCCTGGTGCGCATCTCTATGAGGAACTGGGTGACAGCACGATGTAAGTACACTCTCAGAAACTGAGAAGCAGGTGGGTTTTTAAAGGGAAGCTGCATGGTGAGTGCCTTATGTCTGATTGTTTTTAAACAGAAAAATAGTTAAGATGAGGCCCTAACAGAGGTGAAGTTGAAAAGCAATAGCTAAAAGCTAAATAAAAAAATAATAAATAAAATTAAGAGAAAAGTAATATTCACTGGAGGAAACAATTGCAGATATATAACTGAGCTATTATACTTAATTTCCTAACTTTCATGTTCAGACTTTTTCCCAAAAAATTGTAGTGTATGAAAACAAAGTTTTGTTTTTTGTTTTCACATAGGAGATGAGAATAATGCACATTTATTAAATAGTAACTTCTGATTTGGAATCAAAACCAACCTCCATTCGGTGATCAAAACCAAATTCTATGGTTTAAAATTGTATACTTTTGTAAGGTACCTTTTAGGAAATTATATAATATTGTAATTATAATCTGAATGAAAATAAAGAATCCATCTACTAAAAGCCCAACTATTTACAGAAACCTTTTCAGTATATTACTGATACCATAATGAGTTTAAGCAATTGTGAACCATATGTTTAGAAAGAGACTGATCACTTATTGCTGAAAGATTTCACAGCTCTTCCTGTTGAATGATACTACCCACCCACATAATCTGATTTCCTTTTGGAGATATTAAATTGTCTACCTTTTTAAAATTCAAGAGTAACCATTCTGAGACATGATGTGTAAAACAACCAAAGGTATTATAAAATTCTGGATACAGCAAGCATAAATTTAGAAAACCTATTATTAGCTGAAATTTGTTCAAGTAAAGACATTCTAATGTATATCTTTTACATTTTTAGTGTTTAGTAGTTGTAGTAAAGCAAGCCTCCAAAACTATATACCTTTTAATGACAAAACTGGTTTAAACAGATGTGGTAATATCATTTGTTATATTAATAATGTTGTACAGACTATTTAGATGAGCTTAATAACATTAAAACTGATAATCCCATTTTAACACTAAAACTGAATATAAGCAAAATTTATTGGATGCCATTCTATCTCTAAAATGGTAATTTAGTAAAGGAGTCATGCTTTAAACTATTTCTCACTTTTTTCATGAGTTGAAAATGATGGTTTCTTTTTTGAATTACTGGTGAATGTAGGAATTGAGCCAATATGATTTGATTCTCTTTGATTATGTTAACCACCTGTCCTAGCAACAATGCTTAGAAAGTAGAAAAACATTATGCGTAAAGTTAAATGTGTGTATATATGAGATCAGTGAATGGTTATATTCATTTTAACAAAAGCAGGCATACTGTAACATTTGGAATCAGTATAACTTGTTTATATTAAACTAGTTACACTTAAGTACTATTTTTACATGAGAAATTGTAGCAGACTTAGTAGATTTTATAATTATATTTATTTCACATAATTATTTTATATTATACACATTTAATTATTTTATCTTCAAGAAATGTTTATTCCCAACTTTTATAGCAATTCTAATGATATATAATTATAAAATAAAGTAGCTATAAATGAATTATCAGTTATCAAAAAGAAAAAAACTATGATGATTTTAAAAACAAAAGTATGAACAAATTAATTAATGATTTTCATATAGATTCAACAACTACTATGTATGGTCATAATAGTACTTGTATATTTGCTTTCATCCAAACAAAATATACCTTTTAAATTAGTGTAAGGTAGTCAAATTTTCAGAATTAAGGTATAGAAGAAGAAATTATCAGTCACATTTAATATTTTCATTTCAGGATTTAATTTTTCCACATTTTACAGAATTGGATTTTGCAGATGTATAATATATAGATTGCTAGCTATTAGGTATAATTTTGTGTGATAAGACATCCAAATAACACCATATGACTTTATCTAAAACATTATGAAGAATTGTTCTTATGAATAAACACAAAGAAAAATTTAAAACCGTACATTTCTTGGGGGTACATATTGTTTAAAGCAACTTCCTGTTAATATTTTCATAATCATCTCTAATTAACTATAGTTAAAACTTTTCTTTTTCTATCACATGTTTTCTCTTTCTCACCTGTGGATACATAGGCATAAGTAAGTAAATAATATCATTCTAATACAAAGGCATTAGAAAGTAGATATAAGAGAATAGATTAAATGTTATTTTACTTTAAACACAGTAATAATCTTTTACCAGTGTCATTTCATTTAAATTTGTTTTTGATGTCTTAAAAGAAATGGCATGACCTAAGTTAAATGATTTCTGACATATTTAAAAAAATAACTTTCCAAGATCAGGACAAGTAAAAGTATTTGCTTTCTGTGTTTTCCAATGTGTCCACATTATCTGAATTCTTCAGATAGGCTTAATACTCAAGGGCCACCTGTGAGAATTCCTTTTTAGAGTTTATATCTGCCAAATGGCAAATTAACAACTTTAGATTTATATATCATTTTAGAACCTAATTTATTACCCTGATTTTTCAATGTGGCTATTTAGCTTTTATTCAAGGTGTTTTTACTTTTACTTTTATTGCTACTGAGTAAAATTAAATAACAACTGAAATCAATATTTTATTCTTTTGGGGCTTGAGAATAATCAACCATTTGGGAGGAAGACACCCAATTCTTTTAATAGAAAATTTGTGCAGTTTGGCTTTTTCAACTTCCTTTAAATCTCATAGCTCCCTGTGACTTAGCATACGTGCATCAGCAAATCCCTCAATGATATCAAAACAATATAATTTTAACATACATATTTTCCTTAAGGGCAGTCTTGATGAAAACTTGATCCTGGTCATATTTGAAGGAAATACCAATAGCCCCTCCACTGATTGGTATTATTTATAATGTTTTATAACTGATTAAGCTTTAAGATTTAAACAGAAGGAATTATAATTTTATTCAGGACTGTGGCATAAAGTTAATTTGTCAATTGTGATTTTGCACTCTGTGAAAAAACTTTTTGCTTTTGTCTTTGGGGGCTTTCTCTAATCTAGGTAATAGAGTATCCCTTTCTATATTCTCATGCAAATTTTGTCTCAGAGCAGAGAGAATTTTAGCTCCAGGGGAGAATTACTGAGGTATAATATAATGGACAGGTACTGATTTTGATAGAGCCAAGGTTCTTTTATGTCTAACACTCAACTCTGTCCAATTTCAAGCAAGGCAAAAATATGAAATCAAAGGCCAAGATGATTTCCTGCATTTGGAAAGTGTGATTTAAATATGATTGAGCTGTTACATGTGGACCTGAATACTTGGCTGTATCAAACTAACTGAAAAAGAAAACTAGTATTTGATACTTTTTTAAAGACATGTTACAACTCTTAAGATTTCCCTGCCTTGTCTTTTTGGGAATAGGGACTTTAAGTCATGTTTTGCTTCAGGTTGCTTGACCTTTTAAATTTTGAAGTAGAAATAAGAAACATAAAAACACCTTTCTCATTAAAGCTATGTCACAACGTGTTTCCTTACATTTCATTATCTTCTTTTCTTTCAAGTCTTTTCCTTCTCTACCATTTTGAACAAAGCAGGGGAAATAACTCAATCTCAGAAGACAGGAAAAGTCAGCAAGTTGTGATGCCCTTTTCTTCCAAAACCATTGAGGTTCACAAGCCAGCTCATATAGATGGATCACTTAAAAGCAAACAACCAGAGCCTGGAAGAAAATTTACACTTCTATCTGACGAGGACGACTTATGTGGCCATGACCCACTTTATAAGGAAAATATGGGTCAGAGGTCAACAAATTCAGACATCACATTGAGAACAGAGTTTGAAAACCCATTTTTAAACCAAACACAAGTCAAGAGTCAGTCTCTGAGGGGTCCAAGAGAAAAGATTCAGAGGATGTGGAATCAGCCAGTCAGCTTACCTAGAAGTCTGATGTGGAAAGTTCCAAGTAGACCAGAAACCATAGATCTGGTGCACTGGCAAGGCACCTGGCAAAAAGCTAAAAATGAAAACACTGGAATATGTTCAAACAAAAATAGCGGCAGTCTATTTCTTACAACTGAAGGGGTAAATTTAACAGAAAAAGAAGAAACAAGGCAAGGAAAAACACTGATTTCTCCAGAAACAGAACAGTTGAAATCTCTGTCTTCAGACTCTTCATTTTCCTCTTCTTGGTCTCACTTCTCATTGTCTACTTTGCCAACTATTTCAAGAAATGTGGAACTCAAATTAGAACCTAATGTCATCACTTCTCCTGATGACTGTTCCTTGGAACTTTCTTCTCCAAGGCCTTGCATTTTAAATTCTCTAGTCTTTAAAAGAGAGACAACCACTTGTATGTTAGATGTTGAAACCAAAAGGAACAATTTTGAAAATCTTTCCCATCCACCTAATATCTCTCCTTCCTCTTCTCCCCCTCACTCTCCTTCTCCTAATCCTCCTGCACCTCCTCTCCTTAACCCTTTTTCTCTTTCTTTTCCTCTTCCACCTCATACTAACCCTTCTCCTCTTCCTCCTCCATTTCTTCCACTTTCCATTCCTACTTCTACTCTTCTTCCTACTTCTCCACTTGTTCTTTCTTCATTCTCCACAGTTCCATCATTATCTCCTCCAGTTCCTAGTCCACTACCTCCTTCAGGTTCAGTTCTAGACACACAGAAGGTTTGTAGGCCGGTTGTGAAGTGCACTACCACCATGACACTTCCCGAAGAAAAGTCTCCTGTGACAAACCTATCAACATCAAAAGCAGTGTGTAGTTCAGACCCTCAAAGAGAACAAAAAGGCATCCTCAAACATATAAAAAACTTAGCAGAACTTGAAAAATCAGTATCTAACATGTGCAGTCAAATAGAAAAAAACTATCCACCCACAAATATCTCCAAACTCCAAAGTATTTGCCCTTCAGAGATAACAAATGTGGAAATCACATCTGAACAAAACCAGGAAGATTTGAACAAGAGTGTTGAAGGGATTGGAAAACAATCTCACAGTCAAACTACTTTGCTATAATGTTGCTTGTCCTATTATCTGGATAAATATTTTATTGGTCATTATCTTCAAGTTGAACCTCAAATTTGAACGTCAAAGAAGTTGTCAATATTTTATCCCAAACTCAATGCAATGCTGTTTTTTTAAAATTTTTAATTTGAAAGATTATTAACTTCATCACCACTAACTCATATAGTAGATTTATTTTTAATTTTCTTAACTACAAAGTAACATTATTTATCCCACATTTATTTTAAAAGTAAGTAATTTTAATCTGGTTTTAATGGGGAGACATGGGCCTGAAAGTTATTCACTTTTAACCAAAAGCTTTTTTATCATGTTGATGCAATGATTTCACTTTTAACTTTTGATCATAGTTTTATATGAATGTTCCAGGAAAATAGCAAACTGTAACAAGTAAACTAAAAGTTATACCATAGGTTCTGTTATTTTATTGAAGCTTGTGTATTTGGTAAGAAGAAATGCTTTCACAGTAAAACATTATGTACTTAGAACTGTAGGGGGTGACAACATGAGATTTTTTAAATAAACCCCAGGTGCTATAATATGTACTCATCTGTTTTCTTTTAAGAATATCCTTTACTCTGGCTTAATTTTATCTTACTAGTATGCTTATATATTTGATAAGTCCTTTACATTTTCTTGATTGCTGTGCTGTCTTACTTATTTCTCATTGTGCTTTTCCTTATCTTCTTCAAAATGACAATAAATAAGCAGTTGTTGACTTTTGTAAGACATTTCATTGTTCCCACAGGTATTAATGTGCTGTTTAATTTTGTTTTTTTCACATGGTTATGCCCCTCCTTAATAATTTCGATAAAATTTTTTTCAAAAATATATTTATTTATGTTCACTTTCATAAATGAAATGTGACAACTTTAAAAATCAAGAGAGGTTATATTTGGTGAAATGTCACCAGTTTTATGTAGGCCTTTGTACCATCTTTTTGACAAAGAAGATAAAAATTTACACTCTGGGAAGAAATTTCTATAGTTACAATAATTGTTCTAGTATCTTTGTGCTCCACTTTTAAAATTTTTTACAGCATTAGCTAAGTACTTTCTTCCTATCTTTCTTCATGGTAGTTACACTTTCAGAGAGCTTGATTTAAGATAAATTACATATTTATACATATATATGTATATTATTAGGTACTAGTATGTATTCATATATAAGTATATAATATGTAATATGTGATCATCAAGTAATTACTTTGTCTTTCCCATGAAACAGATGGAATCAATTTTATTTACTGGAAATTGCTATCTTGAATATAAGTTTATTTGTTTAACTATGGAATTTTAATATTCTAGAAGATATAAGTCTTCACAGAGAAAGGTACAGTTTCAGAATAGTTTAATATGAATATTCTAGGAAATTTCTTTGAAATTTCCAGGCAAATGTTAAGATTGATAATTATATCTGCAAGCATGTTCATTTAGGTCAAGAGCCCTACAATGTATCATTTCAAAGGTTTTATTCAGTGGTTATATGACATTTCTTCAAGAATTTGATCTGATATTTCTAATTATCAAGATCAGATAAAAATAATCTTTAAATTAATTATTTTTATTAGTCCATTTGCTTCAGATTCCTTTTCATCCAAATCAAAAGTAATTTCTTTTCTGGGGTTCTTGAACATGATCTTTTTCTCTCTTTCACTGAAAAACTTCAGTTGGAGTTTTTATTGGCAGCTGGTCATATGCATGAGAACTTGTGCTATTTGGCGGACTCTGACAAGGTATTATTCAAAATTGTGTGAGCCTTTAATGTGAGTGTATGATATTTTTAAGCAAATTTCTACCAACTTCTTATAACTGTAAAACTTAGAACTCCTTGATAATGATATTTATAACTAGGTACCAAGGAAGAGTATAAAAAATGCAAATAACATTTTTGTGTAAGTGCCTAACTAAATTGTTACATTATCCTTCTCTATAACATTTTAAAGTAATAATTCTATAATCTAAATTCTTTTTATTTTGTACTTTTCAAATGTAACACTAATACTATTTTATATTTAATACAGACTTTTATTAATACATTACATTTAGAATTTCTTTATTTTGCCATAAAAAGTTAGTTAAAATGTCTTTTACATAAAAACTAAAAATATTATTTTAGTATAGAAGGCTAAGTATTCTCCTTCTCTTCAATACCTGTACTCTGCAATCTGACAACTAGCCTCTACAAAAAGAACACTGTTTTCCCCTGTATTTATTAAAATCCACTTAATGAGTGAGGAATGATTAGATGCTTTATTGAAAATGTATTATCATACATTCGTTCTTACTGATAAAGCAAATGTAATACACACAAACAGTGTAAAATGAATAGTTAATACACATCAGTGTATATAAACTACATAAAAAACATCAATACTATATGACTGGTTTTATAATTATCAACCATCATACTTTGAAAGCATTAATATGATAATCATAAATATTGCTTGTTATATAACTTTTAAGTAAAATTCTCCTTTGTGCTATAATGAATGATATAAATAACCAAATGAAAAACAACAGAAAGGTTTAATGGCAACAGTATGGTAAATATTTTTTATTTCCCACATTTGTGAAAAATTAATGAAAGGAGGAAATTGAAATATCCTAGAAAATAAACATATAATTTTGCTTGGATATCTTACTTGATGTATGTGACTCTATTGTCTTTATTAAAAATCTAAATATGAGGTTTCTCTACTTGGTTTCTAGAGATAGAAATTGTTGGCAAGTTGAAATGCATAAATTTTTTAAAGCATTAGGATTATCATTCCTACAAATATTGAATAAAGATATAAACACTGCCAAATTCACTACATAATTTTTTCAAACTATGAAGTATTGATAGGATTAAACAGCCTTAAATTAGCTTTATTTCCCACATTTTCAATAAGCAATACATTAATCACATAAGATGCTTTCAGACAAAGAGTCTTATTTGTCTTATGAAGGACTTTAAAAAGATACTCTATGAAAATTTTTTGACTTTAGAAAGTTGTGCATTTGTCTCATAATACGTCTTAAATATTGTTGTGTATTAATTACATAAAGCAGGGTCAACAGAATCAGTTTAATACTTTAGTGCAAGTATTTAATTCATAATAAACAGAAACCATTTTATATTTAGTGCTATTCACATTGAATACACTTTACTACTTTTTCCCTTGAAGGTATAGTTAAATATTTTACCAACTTGTGGTGCATGAGCTTTATTAGTTTATGTAGTATTGAGTATTTAGCTATTTTTCCTCTAAACTTTTTTCACTTAATCTTAATAATTTAATTGGCCTTGGGAAGGTAGCTAATATTTTCATTCATTATTCTTAGAATCAATTTAGCATAAACAGAAAAACATCTTAGTCATTTGAAATAATGGATTCTATCTATATGGAGATAATTTTATATTCTATAGTTACTGCACTCTTCATATAAGAAATTATCTCTTTCCCAGATATTTTATATGTATAAAGACTTGTATAACACAGAGATAATATAGAATATTTCTATCTCAATTATAACATACTCGAAGTGTATTGGTATGTACTTTTTTAAACACAAAAGACTTTGGTCAATTGTTCATATGAAATGAGGGTCTGAGATGATACTTGTTTTAGTAATTTGAGCATAAATAATAGTATTTCTGTCATGAAAATGGCACAAAATCTATTTCCCACTGAAATAATAGAGAAAATTATCTTACTTTTAGTTAAAATCTTTTAGATGTCCCTTTCAGAAAATTTTATCTAATCTGAATGTCAAAAATGTTTAATACTGATTTCTTTATTTCTACCTTTCAGGAGAGGTTATACATCAGAGGTAAGGGATTCATGGTATTATATCAAATTTACTAGGTCATTATCTCCATAACAGGCAGGACTAATATACAGTTTTTGGAAGCTAGGTAATTTTCCTTTATTTCAACAAAAACCTTTTAAGCATATTTTAGTTTTTATTTTCTTTTATATATGTTGCTTCTTTGGGAGTTTTAAGTCTATTATTCAAGTGAACAAAGATCACTGCTTACATTTTCAATGATGAATTTTTTTTCTGAATTATAACTAGTCAATATTCTGATGTTCCTTTAAATTTGTTTTTCTAATACTGCATACTAGTTTTCTAATAGTAATTTCTCAGTTTTTTGTCTTTTTATTAGTCTGATCATTGTATTAGAGGCTTGCTTCTTAAAGAGTTTTTTGAAATCAGGATATTAGAGAGTTCTGTGTTTTCTATTGTATTTACCATGATTCCCAGTGTATAGAGAACATGCTAGGCATGCTTGTTGATACTATTTAGCTGACTATATTACAAATGATGTTATCAATGGAAACACTGAAGTCCTAGTTTGATTTATCGTACAGCTTCTCAGTCAAGGGAAAGAAACAAGTAAATGAGCTAATTGACTTACACTTGAGAATGCATAAATCCTAGATTATGTAGCAGTGAAGTTGAATGCCTGTATGAATAAGTGGTTTTCAAGGGTGATTAAAATAGATAACAAATAGAAATAAATAACAACTTGATTAAAATAGATAAAGAGATTGATTAAAGTAGATAACAACTGAATCACAGTATCCAGTATCTCTAACATAAACTTCCTTTCTCTTTGAAAGAGTAAGGTGACTAAATCACTAACAATGGTATCATAAGAACTCTGTCTTTTCAGATACATGGTTGTTCTGTTTCCCATTTCAGTTGGTTTTTTGATAGAATTGCCCTTCATAACCTCTCACCCAACTTCTCAATGTTTATTTTAAGATCCACATAGTTTAACTATTTCCCCTTTTCTGCAGATATCACTAACCCCTTATTTAAACTGTTTTCCTATGGTTAGAGTCTAAATTATCATGAACCCAATAAAGACAGACTAAGAATTCTCCTTAAGTATGAGTATGAAGGAGGGGAGATATGATGCAATCTGTACAAAACCAGGATATTTTCTCTAATCACAAAAGACTTTCTGAAAATAAGCATGAGTGAAAGCCCTCAATTCACATTTTGCTAAGAAGGAAGAAGAGACACCACATCTTAAATATGATCTTGACTACATTACAACCACATCATCCTATGTTCTACTTTTCTTCCTAGTGAATCTGATCATATTTTAATGTGACTGGGGAGAGAAAAAAGGGACAATTTAAAACAAGATTTAACTTATGAAAAATAATTGTATGGTACTTAAAGTGTTTTTAGAAGCATAAATAACTTCACAGTTTGAATCAAAAATGAAATTATTATAATTTCTATTTATAAAGTTATTAAATTTAATGTTAACTAAAACATTAATGAAATTAAAGCCAGTGAATTCTTTATCATGTTATGGTTCAGTATAAAGAATTAGCTGATGGGCCGAGGATTTAGCTCAGTGGTTTTGCCGCCTGCTGCACAAGCACAAGGACCCGAGTTCGATCCCAGGTACCAAAAAAAAAACAAAACAAAAAGAATTAGCCAAACCATTGTTTAATGATTTTGATAGCTATCATATGAATGAGTCAAAATCCCAAAGTAATCAGTTTTAAACTGTCACCTTTTATCATTTTCTTCTCAATCATAATCTACCTTTTCCATCTGATTTACTGTCTTAATCTATTTTTTCTATTTTAATTTTCTTTGGCAGCAACAACAACTGCTGAGGC